CCGGCACCCAGCACTGTTCCCATCATTGCACTGCAGCTTTGCAGATCCCTCCCCCATCGTTGCCCATTATTTTCCCATTGCATCGCTGCGTTGGAAGCTCCTTGAATGCACTCGGTGTTAATTGGAGGGCAGTTTTTGCTCGGCCTCTGCTTGCTGCTGCAGGAACAGGGAAATGGGGAGGGGGGGAGGAAGGGGTGGGTGCATCACTGTGTGCATCTCTGTGTGCATCACTGTGTGCTCTGACCTCGGGCCGAGGCACAGGAATTGCTGGGACTCACAGCAAAGCCTTTGGGGGGTTGCAGTAAAGTGGGGCTTGGGAGATGGAAGGGGGAAATTCAGAGGCCAAACCCCAGCGTTGCAGGAATGAAAGGGACGTGGATGTGCAACAGGGGGAGAGGAGCAGCAGCGAGGTGGGGTGCAGAGCTGGGACTGCACTGCGTAGGAACTCTGTGCTGGGAGCAATGCGAGATGTTCCCCTCCTGGCAGCAGGGATCTGCAGAGCTCTGCTGGGAGAAAAGGGGAGCTCTGGGGTTGGACACAACCAGAGGGAGGTGGGGACACCGGGGTTCAGCTGCAGCCCCATCAGCAATGACAAACCTGGAGGTCTTGGCTCCCCCCAGCTCGGTGTCACCCCATGGGGTTCCATGCAGAAACGCAGCCCTGAAGCAGCTGTTGGTGTTTGCAGGGCTGGAAAAGCACCAGGAACTATTTGGGGGCTGTGAGTCAGTGCAGAACAGCGTGGCCCCATACACGAGTCAGGCCCCCATTGCCCTCTGCAACCCCCATTCCTCAGCTCCAATCCCCCAGGACCCCCACCCCTACGGATCCCCATTGCTCCCTCCATTACTCCAGCAAGGCACCCCAGCAGCACGCAGCCCTCCCAGCTCCCAGGGCTTCCCCTGCACCCACAGCACTGCAGGAGGCGTGCAGCTGCTCGGTGCCCCCCCAGACACTTATCTGCAGCTCCCAGGGGCTGCTGTGTGCTGATAATCACTGGGTGCTGCTGCACGCTGACCCCCAACCCCGTATCACAGCATGGGGGGGTGGGGGAATGAAGCTGAGTTGGGCAAAAGACCAACAACCAGTCAATAATAAATAATAATAATAAAAAAAAACATTTATTTCCTTTTTCAGATGAGATCCGTAGTGAAGCCCCAGTGTTGGTTCCGGGCCCACGTAGGAGAACAAACACTCAACAACCAGAAATAAGTTAAAGTGGAGCCGTGGTGCAGCAGAGACAAACCCAGGGTGGTGCTGCAGCATGGGGGGGAAGGGGGGGCTCCCCATGGCTCCCCCAGTGACCCGCACTGAGGGGAAAGGCACATGGGGGGTGGGGGGAGGACAGGGGTAGCCCATATCCCAGCCCAGCAGTGCTCCAAGGGAACCCCCCCCCCCCCAGCAGTGTGCTGTGCAATGAAGTGCAGCGGGGGATGAGGGGCACTGGGG